GTGCCTGTTATTGGTTAAGACCCTCGGCATTGATTTCTGAGACCCCAAAGCATCGTCTACCTTCAGCAGTTCCAATTTGCAGGACTCTAACGAAAGATGCGAAGCAGGATTCGATTTTCACCGACCCGCCGAAGCAGACAAATCGGCGGCCCCTGACCGAACGGCCTTAGGAGCCGTAATTGATTGTGAGTCTTGGCTTACTTGCTCTTGCTGCTAAAGGTTTAATCAGTCAAGGCTGCATAATATTATTTTGAAACCCAGCCCAACATAGATCTCTCTAGTCAAGAACCATAAAGATAAATTTTTGCTGCTGAAAAAAATTGTGGCTCTGAAGTTGCAGTTCTGTATTTCAAAGTTGTTCTTTTAAAATGAAGAAATAGTATTTAAAAACATTACGTGAGCTCCTGTTGCTTCACGGCCCCTTAGAGGAAAGGAATGTAAAGGAGATAGAAGATGGATACAGACGATCCATTCATCTATCTTCCATCCGTTAATCCAATGCAGGACCCCAGGCCGGGGGGTGTGTGGCATGAACCAGAGAAGCACCCTGTATGGGAGGACTGTAGGACACACATGCACATACAAATGTCACGCCAACTCACAAACCTGGAGGCGTGAGGGAACAGCGCCACCTACTGAACCTCACAGGAACTGGCTTGTTGTTTCTGGGGCTCCCCTGGGGTGTCACTTTGCCTCCCCCCATATATGTCTCAAAACCAAATAAAGAGTACAGTCAGAAGATCATAGCTTAATAACCGGTTAACAGAACATGCTGCTTCAGCATCTCCTAAATAAGGAACCCGTTCATTTAATATTTAGCGTAGTGACTGTTTGCGGCCAACAGGGGGCCCCGACCTTTGGCTTGAGTGGTGGTAAACACCGCCAACAGACAGGATCAGAGTTAAGAAAAAGCAGCTGGTTCCCAACCTTGCAGACAATGTTGGAACCTTTGAAGTGAGACTCGGAGCAGGGGGAGTGAGGTGGAGCATGGTGAAAATTGAGGTGCCCGCCTCAAGGCCGCACAGGTGACAGATTCCATCACAGCCGGTCAAGGTTGAGTTATCAACCCAAATGTCATTCCTGCCACAGACACTGGAGAAGCGTGGCTGAGACGAATTCACACCCACTAGCTCCTCTCTCCTACTTCTCTATTCTCTCATTCCATTTTTTCTCTGTTTCACAGACGCTGAGTAAAATAAAACCACAGAAATTTTGGCGTGTAAATACATATGGAAGCCAAGCCAACTGCTTATCAAAACCCTCTGATGTCACTTTGTTACTCTGAAGGGTGACATTACTCTTCTGCGATGGGTGGTGTTACTCTGTCACACTTTGACTCTGACAGATGATGTTACTCTGCTCCTTAGTCAGGCTCTGCAAGGCCTTTTATCAGTAATGTCATGTTATGCTGTTACTCTTTTATTCAGAAAGATGATGATGCCCTGTTACTCGACGCACGTCGTTTTCGGAAAACACATAATTCCAAAAGAATGTTAAATGCAGAGCTTGAAGCTTGCCATGTTAGGAAAGTTATTTCTGATGTTACTTGTGTTAGTGAGCATGCAATTACAAGTACATGCAAGCCGTGCACACAGAGGCACAAACACACAATTACACAAACTCACTGTTAAGACTGCAGATACTGTGTGCAGCGCTCAGGGCAGCGGGGAACTCGCTGACAAAGGCAGGAAGTAACGCTCTCTCACCTGCTCCGAAACACCAGCCCTCTGGGAGTCATTAGATGGAGGCCTATAAGTACAACCTTTATGGCAGTAATTATTTTGATGAATTTGTTGACGTTTGTGGCTATAGTGCACACATAGTAAAACTGCTGAGATTATTCTAGTGTTGCTGGGAAGTCTGGAAATTACTCCTGACAACCAGTATCAGCCCAGTAGCAGCCCAGCACTAACCCTTTACCATTGTCCTCACAGAGATCCCAAACACTTTCCAGTAGGTATGTCGTCATCGGTACATATTTCCTTTTTGGCAAAATGGTATTTTCAAGGCATGAAAAGCTTTGTTTATGTAGTTCTGGAACTCACTGAACACATATATATTTACAATGAAACAAGATATATGATGGATGGATGGATGGATGGATGTCATGTATTGTTTTTAATGGAAACTGTAACAAAAGTTGTTTACTTTCTAATCGCAAACATAGGACCACCAACATCAAGAAACTTTAATATGCATGACTTCTCAATGTCCAGAAAGCAAACCTAGAAGACCCCCGGGTCTATAATGAGTCCCAACCCTGTCTTTTCGATCGTCTCTGTGCTGCACGTTTAATCAGTAACAGGACAGATTTTCTTTCTGAGGCTGCGGGGTTTTATGTGAATATTACAATGTGAACTTGCCAGAAAGCAACAAATAAGTCCAACCCAACACTGTGTCATAATCTTTCCTCTAGGGAGCTCGGAAAGGGAACGGGGGAGTGGCCAGTGAATAAAGACCTGACCAAAAGGTTTGCCAAGAAAAGGAGTTAATTCCTGCAGCAAGCAACAGCGTTAAAGAGAACAGTGGTTTCTACATGTCTGCTTATTAACAATGCAAACCGATTCCAACCACACCCATTACTTTAGACGATCAACTACTGCCATCTAGTGGTCCAAACCTGGAAAACCCAGCATAACTTTGATTATAGTTTCTCGGTTCTTTGCATGTCTGCTGTTAGTGATGTCTTTTAAATCAAGAGCAGCACTATTACACATTGCCATACATAATATGATCATTTAAATCACACTGTTGCTCAAGGATAATTAGCACTCCGATATGAGTAAACACTGAAGGCAGACAGAATAAATCCCAGAAGACCGTATTTTGGAATTTCCATCCCCAGTGTTTCTATCCTACAATTATAACGGGTAAATGTCTGTCACCTGAGCCAGCTGTAAACTCTCCAGGTGCTCTGATGCATTGTTGGATTAGGACACAATACAGAAAAAGGCTTGAGGCATGAACATTAAGCACACTTGTTTCATAACACTGCCTGTTCCAGAGCTAATGTTAGTCCTCTTCACCAGTCTCCAGATCATGGTATGTCATATATAGGGGGTAGTTTTGTACAGCCAGGTCACATACAAGTCATTATAACAGGATGAGGAGCGCCTAGCCATTCAGTATATAGTATACCAGTGTTTCCCAACCCAGTCCTCGGGGAACTCCGGACAGTCCATGTTTTTGCTCCCTCCCAGCCAAAAGTTTGGACACACCAAGCCACATAGAAAGGAGAGCGATAGTGTCGCATCACATGACCTGGTCACCTGACCTAAAACCAGTACAAATGGTTTTTGAGGAGTTTGACCAGAAAGTGAAGGAAGAGCAGCCAATGAGTGTTCAGCAAATATGTGGGACCTTGTTCAGGACAGTTATAAAAGCATCCCAGGAGGCCACCTCATGAAACTGGCGTAGAGGAGACAGTCAGGTCAGCCAGACGCTGGAGCAACTGGGGTTCAGGGCCCAATGGTGGCATCACTCTGCCGACCACGGGATTTGAACCGGCAACATTCTGAGACTTAAGCCATTGATCTGCCTCCCCCTCTCCCAACAATTTTTAAAAATAATTTTACTTTTATAACTTTGTCTTTATGATTATTCCAAAATGTAGGGAATAGTACAAATAAACCTTTGGATGGGTGTGTCCAAACATATGACTGGTACTGCACACACACACACACACACACACACACACACACAGACACATACACACACACACGCACGCACATGTAGGGTAAACATATCCTTATGGGGACCGCTCATTCATTTCATTGGGAAAAATGCTAACGCTAACTATGACAACCTTAACCCCTACCCTGCCCTAACCATAACCATAAGTAACCTAACAAAACACAAGAGTTTTTGCATTTTTAGTTTTTTCATAGCAGTCATTGTTAAAGCGAGCATATGTGCAACGCACAGCAATGTACAGCATTTAAAGGCATAAGAGAAAAAATACAGTAGAGGATGAAGAAATTAACTGACAGAAAATCTATATATATACATGTATTAAATGAAAGCAAGTACACTGTGAACCTTGGTTTGGTGAAGTATTTATTGCAGTACTTGAATGAATGGATTAAGCATGAAACATTTATTGAGCTGTATTAACTGTGACAGAAGGCCAAGTGAAAGTGTATTTACGAAAAGAAAAACCACAAGCCATGTTCTTTTGAAAGGAAATTGAATTATATAGGTGTGTGACTGATCTAGTGGATCTTGATTATCTAAATATGGTGTGTCATTGAAAAAGATTATATATGAAAGGGGTAAAACATGGATTTATAATTGAAGAATAGTTTAATGTTCAGGACGGTGTATGACTGTCGAAAAGTGAGCGAATAATATTGATTTGTGGATAGTATGGATCAGACACAACCAACTGGCTGTTTCAGAACAAAGAAAACTAGGCATATTTTTTCTACAACTGAGGAATAATAAATAAATGCAGAATCTTAATAAGTAAATGTAACCTTAATAAATGCAGAATCTGTCATATTAGCAGCAGCAGTCCTTTACAGAGAAACGACAATGCGTTACCCTTCAGGAGAGTCGGAGTCAAAACAGCCCAGGATAAAAGATCAATACCCTTAGAGAACAGGCTGGAGTTCGTGGGGTGTCTGGTATATGTACACAAAACACAACCTCGGATGATTTTTATTATTACAAAGGCAATAACTGCACGAGGCTGCGTGAAGATACAACAGAAAATCGCTTAAGCCTAGACCTCGGCTGCTCTCACGTAGTGTATTAACAGTACTGTGTCATGGTTAGCACGAGGTGTACCTACGATTCCACCCGCACGCCAAATACCTGGACTGCTACTCCACGTGTAAAAAATTATACGCCCTTTGTTATTACCGCATTAAAACGCAACGGTCCATTGATTGACCGATCATGTGAAAGCGGCGTGATCGGGCAGGTCGCGGGGCGTGGCATATCGCCCGACATAGTGGACTGCTGACCAATGGCGGCGTTTGTTTTTGAGGCTCGTGATTCGTCAACGAGACACTTCGCCACGGTTCGTTACGGCGACGTTAGTCGAGGCGGAGGAGCCGAGGAGCGAGGCGGTCAGTTTTTAAAGTGGCTGGAAGCAGACAGAAAAAACCATAGATAACGCACAGGAATAATCATTCCTGTTCCTTGCTAGCTAGCCATTACTAGTCTACAGTCCGCATCTGTCGCTTGTCCGCATAGCTGCTACGCCCGCCGAAACGCCCCCCCCGCCGATACTGCGCTCCGCAGCCCGCCGGCCCGGGTGCGGGTCCCGAGAATGCTGAAGAATGACCCACAGGGACACTCTGGTTCATCTGTTCGCTGGCGGGTGAGTGCTGGACGTGTCTGGGCATGCTTCAGTGTCCTGTTTGCTGCGTTGTTAACAACCCCGTGCATTTGCGCAGCGGGGGTTGACTCGGCCATGAGGACGACGCTGATATTACCACGTTTCTTCTTATTTATATGCATAACATGAATGTTCACTGTTGTATGTTACTACTAACTAAACAGATAGCTAGCTTAAAGAAACCAATCCGAAATCATCTAGATGGGATTTTCTAGTTTGTGTGTGTGTGTGTGTGTGTGTGTGTGTGTGTTTTTTTTTTTTTTTTTTTTTGGAGACCAGTAAACCATGCCAGCTTGCCCATTATTACCTGTATACCAGACTTTTTGCCTCAGTAACAACAGATACACGACGCCGGTGCGGCCATCGAATGTGTTTAAGGTCACGTATAGAGGGAAATGGCATCTGAATGAAGTGAGTCACAGCCCCGTTATGAAAGAGCGGTTTGGGCCTGCTGTCATCCACACAGCCTCGGTGCATCGTAGAAATCGCTGCGGCGTTTCGTCATCTGGGCCCCGTGTCCTGACAGTCAGCAGATGCGAATTTCCTTCTCAACAATAAAATGTATTTTTATATTGCCAACGAGTCGCGTATTTATCAAATTTTATTATGTTCTCGTAAGAAGGTCCTACTCCGCTGCAAGTAAATTGATGACACATGTAACCGTCAGTGACCATATTTGCGTTATAATAATTTTTCCTTGCGCGGAGTTAAGTACTTGTGATCGGCACATCCGAGTAAAAAGTCAAGCGACGCAGTCAAATTAGTAGTAAAAGGTTTGATCATAAAAAGAATCAGATCGTCCGACGATAAAAATTGTAACGTCGTGAATTCGTCGTGAGTCCTGGCGAAAAGCCAGGCTGATCAGATTCTGTAGAAAGACATATTTCCAAATCTATAATCTAATATAATACAGTATAATATAATATGTAATATAATATAATGTGAAATTAATTTAATCTCTGAAAATGAATCTCAGGTTATTGCATATTATTTCAAATGTAGTGGAACATGATTGGTCAACATTAAATTCCAAAACACAATTTCCCCCGTAGTACTTCTGGGTTTTCTGTAGTTGGCTGATTGTCATCAAGCAAATGCTCCCAAGGCAAATGAATATTAATGTTATTGTCATCTTTTGTTCTCCACAGGTTAGATGATCGGTCTGTTGTGACGGTTGACCTTAAAGCATTGTTTGGCTTAATTATCTAACCTGTCTGGGCACATTAAAAAGTTGAAGAGCTGTTTTTTGTTTGCACGTTCCATTTGGACCTTTTGGAATTTTCTGCCAGATATTTCTTTGCCGGTAGCTCTCAGTGGGCAGTTTGTGCTGCAGTTGCTGAGACGGATACCTGAACAGTTTTCTCGCGGCCTGATAGATGTGCTTCCCTCACAGCCAAATATAATATAGAGAACAAAACAGATTTCAGTCACTCGTTTCGGCCTGTTTGGATACTAAATAATACAGCATCTGATAGAGTGGAAAGTTGATGTCCTGATGGCTTAGATGTCCCTCCTTGTGTTGATGTGTGCCTGCGTGAAAGTTGCAGTGTGAAACATGGAGGGCCGTGTCGACCGGCTCGCGGTCAGCTGACCTTACGTACTGAGTAAGCTAAGCACGACTGCTTAGCTGTGTGAAACTTGGGGATCCAAGAAAGAGACGCATCAGCCAATCCAAGTCTGCTGCTGAAGATTAATATGGCAGATGTGCCTCAATCAAATGAGGGGAACCTACAGAAAGTCTTTGGAAATGTACCCAGTAGTTGCAATTCGCACTGAAGTCCCAACAGATTTTTACTTATGCCTAAATTCTAAGTCTTAGAAGGAAGAATAGCATTCATTTTGCGTAGGTTATTTTAGAAGTGTCAGGGAATGGTGATGTTTGCTTCATGCCTATTTGTGTTCAGTTGGGCCTTAGCTGAGGTAGGAGACGCCCCCACCCGCCGCGGAGGATTGTGAATGATCACAGCACTTTTGGTAGCTAGGCTTTGCTGGCAGGCTGTAGCTCTGGAACTGGGGCATAGGTCACCCCTGCTTTTGTGTGGGCGGGCTCTCGTGCAGGCACTTTATAAATAGGCGTGCACTAAGCTCCCTCAAGCTCCATTTGATGTTTTGCCCAGGTGTTTTCTCATATGGACTGACAATATCTGTATGATGGGGGGTGGGGCAATGGCAGCCCACTCTGGAATCGTAGGAGAAAGGAAATCTGAGGGGCCGTCTGTGCCGTGCAAGCCTCCTCTGTCTGCTGTCCAGCCTCGTGGTTTGTCCCAGCCCAGCAGTCCGTACTTACCCGTACTCGCCACCAAACCACATCCATTTGGGGGAGTCCCTGGGAGTGGTTTCACTGCTCATGTGGACTGTGTCTTATTGTGTTTATCTATTTCCAGAAAATATCTTAAAATTCTCTTTAGGGGCTGGGGATTTCTTAGATTCTCATTTTACTGTGCTGCATGTCACTGTCTGAACAAAACAGACGTTGTGGGTGGGGTCCTCATATTTTTTCCAAGCTGCTCTGTGACAGATCTGGATTTTTTAGATGCCTGGGTTTCTGTTAATGTTCCTCACATGACTATGTGGTCCTTGTAACATATTTACAGAGTGAATGTCTTTGTGTGCGTCTATGCGTGTCGCACAGGGTGTGCAGTATTGTGCATGAACTTGGTCTGTGTGGCTCATTCTTGCCTGGCCTCTGTTCCTAGGTGTGGGGGCACAGTAGGTGCCATCCTCACGTGTCCCCTGGAGGTGGTGAAGACCAGGCTGCAGTCGTCCTCCATCACTCTGTACATCTCTGAGGTTCAGCTGGGAACCGTCAGCGGAGCTGGCGTGGCACGTGTCTCCCCGGGACCCCTGCACTGCCTCAAGTGAGCGTGCCGAGTGGCCACACGCCGCTCTCTGCCCAGTTCACTTCCTGTTTTTTTTAATCATGAAGTTCCTAAGCTGCTCTCTATTGTAATGTTGTTGTTTTTCCCCCTGGCTCTAAAAGGCAAAATGGCAGAAAGGAATTTTACATAAACCTGTTGGCGTTTTTTCTGTCCTTCTCCTGCTTCCCACTATGATTTGCACCTAAGGATCACCGCGTGCCTTTGCGATCAGCCCTGTCTTCAGAGAGCCTGGCACTGCTTTTTGCCCAGAGATGACGCTTGCACTCATTGACCCGTCTGACTGATCGTTCCCTGGCTATCTTTGTTGTCTCATTATGGCTGCCGAAGGCTATATGCGGCTCTTATTTTCTCGTGCCCCTCTGCCAGATTTAGCCGCCAGACATGTCCGCCTGTTTGAGAACCCTTTCGAGCAGAAGCCTCTTTACTTGACTTCGATTTCCACTGTTCGTTAGCAAAACGAGTGCATGCTTTCGTTTTATATTCCACGACCATCCAGTACAGGGTCTGAGCCCCTAAGGACCCCAAAATCCTGTGAGGAGTTGTGCTTTTCTCATGCTCCCCATCCTCAACATCTCCTCCCTCGACCCGCAGGATGATTTTGGAGAAAGAAGGCCCCCGCTCTCTCTTCAGGGGGCTCGGACCTAACCTGGTGGGTGTGGCCCCCTCGAGGTAAGGCGTTCTGTTTATTTGTAATGCCGACGGTCTCAGGGGTGCTGAAGTTTCAAAAACGGCAGAGGGTGAGTCGGGTTTCCTGTGATCTTCTCCCTCTTCCACAGGGCTATATACTTCGCTGCCTACTCCGGCGCCAAAGAAAAGCTGAACGCCATTTTCCAGCCTGAGTCCACCCTGGTGCACATGATGTCTGCTGGCCTTGCAGGTAATTGTCGTCCTTGGGGGTGCACTGTCACCGCAGGAGGTCCTTTTAAGATCAAACGTTTCAGCACTGCATGAGAAACACTGTTTGCCTGTGCACGCTGCGGTTTGCGTGTGTGTGCTCACGAGGCTCGACCAAAGACGAGAATTCCTCGTGCATAAGGCCCAGCCTCTATAGCTTGAGATGCCAGTATCTTCAAAAACCCAGAGTTTTCATTCTTATTCTGGTTCTGGGGAACGGCTGGGCATTATGATCACTGAGAGAGGATGCAGTGGAGAAGGGGGCCCATTGAAGACAGGTTGAGGTCCAGGGAGCAAGATATTTATTCATTTATGAATTTTGTTATGAAGTTTAGGGGGCAGAAGAGGAATTTATGGGTCATCAATAGGAGCAGCTCTTGCTGTCTCATCGTTCTTTGGCTGTTCAGAATACCCAGGTGCATTTTTTTTTAAAAGTAGAACTTTTAAAGGCATTCTAGGTTTTGGTTGTGCTTTTATTTCATTTTATTGTCATGTGGAGAGGCTGCATAGAAATCTGTCGGCATATAGAACGGATGTTCTGAAAAGCCATGAAGCTCTGGTTATCCTACAGCCACTGCAATCGCTGCCTCTGCGCGCTGCACTCTATCTCGCGGCGATGGTGGGCGCTCTCATTTTGGGCTGATAATGGGAAGTAGTTCTGATCGCTTGGGAAATGGCTGTGGTTGCAGAACCGCTGTGCTGTGTAGCAGTGGTGTTGGTGGTGAGGATGATGATGATGGTGATAATGATGTTGTTGATGTCGATGTCCTGGCTGGTGACCAGCATTGCCGCTGGCTTGTTGCTCTCTGCCTGTTAACCTCTTGTGATTGTGCAGTGTTGACACTGGCCCTCACCTGCTTGTTGCCCTCGGTAAAGGTAAAAAAAATAAATAATAAGCTCACGCGTTCTTTTACTTGAAGCTTGCAGTTCACCAGCACAAATGCTAACCTTGGAACGCCTCTCGGAAACAGAGAGCAGCAGGCAGGCTATGTGTGATGGCCGTCTTTAGCAGGGGATGCTGGGGGGGGGGCGCTTGGGGGGCACATCATATGCATCCCTGCCGAGCGGAGCGCATGTCTTAGTTCCAGTGTATCGAATGCCCACACTGAAGCAGGCATGGGGGGGCGGGGGGGGGGCACATGAACTGTACATATACACTTTTCTCCTGATCGCTCATAGTCATAGGCGAGACATCTTAGCCTCTGGTTCTCGTATTTATGTGTGAGTCCCACCTCTGTGGTGGAGATGAATTTTAACAGTTAAATCATGAGTAATCGTCTTCAACCCCCACACCCCGCCCCTCACCACCATCAGAACCAAGGTTTTCAAGGTTAGCATTTGGCTCCTTGTTGTGTTCTACCTCTGCCCCCCCCTCCACCCTAAAAGGGGGTGGTAGTGGTCATAATATTATAACATTTAGCATTTATTACCCACCCCATGCCACAATTAATTTTCCCCGGTTCGCTTTAAAAGCAGTATTGGACTTTCTCTGGGACCACAGGACAGTACGGCCTTATATGGAAGCATCCCAGCAGCTGTAAGCTGAGCCTGAAAGTTTAGACGCTCAGTGGTAGTAAATGAGGGCAAAGAGGCCTGAAAAGGGAAGGGGGCGGGGCCGTGGGTGGTGCTGGGAGGGGCGGGGCCGGGCGCCCGATTGATTGGTGGATCACTGCCTGTCATTGTGGTGCGGAAAGCCTGTCTCTGTCTTGGGCCTTTACTGTAGCTTTCACCCAGGTGAATGAGTGAGCGTCGCCACCTCAGTCCCCATATCTGCAGGTGTGAGGAGTGGCTTTGCGCCGTGAGTACTCGCCACAGACGCCACGCTCTCTCTCTCTCACCCCTCCCCCTCCCCCCATCCAGTAGTACAGTTTAGCCGTATCTCCAGGCTGGACTCCGCTCCCCCAACCTCCCCCATCCCCACCCTTACCCCCTCCCCACCCCCACCCCCTCGTGTAACATGAAAGCCATCTCTAGACTGAATAGCTTAGGTTTTTTTTTTTTTTGTTTTCTCATCATTTAGTTCTGATGTTCATCAAAAAGAAAGAAAAGTTATGACAAAGCGGATTTTGCATTATATTAGTTCTTAATCTTTTTTTTTTTTTTTTTTTTACCCCCAATGTGTGATGGTTAGATGATGTCAGTTCCTTGATCTGTGCATCACGGCCACCAGAGGTAGTTCACTTAAAGCTTCCAGTAATTAGTTTCTCTCAGGTCATTTGCTTACCTGATTGCATAGCTCATTCCTGATAGGTTACAGCTGCTTTGTCCCGCCCCATATACTCTGTGCCTTTGAGGGTTCCTCTGCCTCAGGCAACATGTACAGACACACACACACACACACACACACAACATTAGTATTTGTTATGGCTCAGTGTGTCCTCGCCGTGCCAATGCTTTTGCCCCTACGTGCTGTATAATGGCCATTTTGGTAATAAAGCATTTGGTGCCTTCAAGGTCACCAAGCCTGGTCTGACCAGCTGTAGGTTCTAACAATGCTAACAGTAAGGAAGTATCTAATAGCAGTAAATGGCAAAAACCCATAACTGTGCCTGACCGCTAACCTAGCAGTAGCTCAGGGTTTTATGGGGTCTGTGACTCTAAAGCTGTTTGAGTCTGGGATGGGAAGTTGGTGGCCACTGCTGCCCTTAACCCGCGTGGTCCTCTTCCAGGTTTCACGGCGATCACCACTACCAACCCCATCTGGCTGATCAAGACGCGCCTACAGTTGGAGGCCAGGTGAGCCGTCGCTGGCGCCCCTCTGGTGGTGGGCAAACAGAAGGGAATCTGGGGGCAGGTGGAAATACTACTGTGCTGCATAATGTGCTGGTGCAGCTTACAGTTGTACTTTGACCCACCTTTTCCCAGAAACTCTGCTGACCTTTGACCCCACCTTCCCAGAAACTCTGCTGACCTTTGACCCCCCCCCTTTTCCCCAGAAACTCTGCTGACCTTTGACCCTCTTTCCCAGAAACCGAGGCGAGCGGCGCATGAGTACCCTGGACTGCATACGGCGGGTTTACCGCTATGACGGTGTGCGCGGCTTCTACCGCGGCATGTCGGCCTCCTACGCCGGCATCTCTGAGACTGTCATCCACTTTGTCATCTATGAGAGCATCAAGCGCCGCCTACTGCAGGCCAAGGCCGCCGCCCACGTGGACGAGGAGGAGGAGACAGTGCGGGACGCCTCTGACTTCCTGGGCATGATGCTGGCCGCAGCCACATCCAAGACCTGCGCCACCTCCATCGCGTACCCCCACGGTGACTAACCCTCACCCTGCTCCTAGAACAGGCCCTCTCAGCCTTTCTTAAGTAAACCAGGAACCCCAAAATGAAAATGGACCAGAGCTGGAGACATGGTTTACTGTATTGTCCTTTTAGCTTGTCGTCATGGTGTCTGGCCTGGTCTTGCCTTGTCTCTCAGCACTTGTGAAGGGAGCATTAGGACAAGCACGCATCCTTTTAACGTTACGCTATTAAAGTGTTCCTGTTCTAAATAGCACTTGCTCGCCATTGGTGTGTCTTTAGGCTCTCTATTTATAGAGCGGGGAAAGCATTTCCTGACTTGTAAATCTCTTTTGATCCACAGAGGTGATCCGCACACGGCTGCGAGAGGAGGGTACGAAGTACCGCTCTTTCCTGCAGACTCTGGCCACGTTGCTGCGTGAGGAAGGCTACAGCGCTCTCTACAGGGGCCTCACCACTCACCTGGTGCGGCAGATTCCCAACACCGCCATCATGATGTCCACCTATGAGCTAGTGGTCCATCTGCTGAATGGGTAGCCCCTCCCAACCACATACAGGCACAGCGTGACAGAGAAAGCGAAGAGAGCGCCCCTTAAGGAGAGGAGCAGACGGATCGGCGTGGGAAGACCAGCTCAAACACCCGGCACAGGACTCTGATCACCTGCAGGGTGTAATCGTTATTGTAAGGAGTCAGGGTGATGGTTAGGCTCAGCCTTAAGTGTAAACTCTGCCTAGCTGGATGTTTGCAAGACGAGCGAATTACAGCCAAACGCATTTCCAATATCGAGTCTTTAAAGAGCAAAATATCTCCGCGAGAATGGGAACCGGAGGCGGGGAAAATGCTTTTAATGGTACTTATCACATAAAAATAACCATTTTAATAACAGCTTTGCTCATAATTAAAAGATCTTTTAAATGATTTATTTAACCCACAAGCATTTCACAGGATGCGTTTTGATAGGCTGTCCGGAATGCTGTGTTACTTCCGCGTGGCACATGCAGTTCGCCCATCTATGAAGCGGTTAATTTATAGTGTTGCTGGTACAGGCCGTGCCGACCCAGCGGAGTAAGTCCACTCATGCGGCTGAAGTCACCGCCACGTGGGTCTCTCGGGAGATCACTGAGGTGTTACCGTTCTCCATACTGACTTGAGAGTGCACTTTGTGGCCTCCTTTGGCTGGTGATTGATTCTCATTTTAATTTCTCTTGATTATCAAGCATAATATTTTATGGTTTTCTTTGAAAATATAGTACAGTTCATTGTACTCACTCCAATGAAATTTAAAGTATGTGTATATATATTGTGTATGTATACACATAGATCTAAAATCTTTATTGAAAAGCTCCCTGCAACAGCCTGCATTGCGGGCAGAGACATTTCATTCAGATCCGAACGCTTGATGTGGTTCTCATAGGGCCCGTTGACTTCTGGTCCTTCACTCATCCAGGTCCTGAAAAGATGAGGTCTGCATTTTCAAAGGCTGTCTTCAATGATTAGGCAGTGTCACTCATCTCCTTTCTCAGCATTACATTTACATTCTGCCTTGTACCCACAGAAACACCCCTCCAGTCGTTTCCCTTTCAGTCGTTTGGCATTGGAGGGATAGCCAGACAGTTACGTTGCAGAGTGATGAGACATCCTGTCAGTTGTATATAATTATGTGTACATTATCTGTGTGTCTGCTATGGGGGCTTAATGTTTCCGTTCAAGTCCAATGTATTAATTTTTTTTTTTACGCCTAAATTTGCATTGCAGTGGTTTTTCTCAAAGCAGGTATTACAGTCTGATTGCAGGGGGCATTCTATATGCAGTGAGGGAAGGAATTTGGCTTCATAGCCTTTGTTGGATGGGATTGTCACGCGTGGTGAATCACCTGTGGTGCTGTACCTGCTGCTGATGCACTCTATAGTTGCGTGATTTTCATTAAATCCAAATGATTTTTTTTCGTAACATGAACAAACATCCTGTTACAGATATCGATGCTGTTTTCGGGTTTGTTTTATGCTGTTTGTTGTAGCACGACTGAAGAATTCCACAGTGGACACATGGGTGAAAGGTAGTGATGGTCAAATGAAGCTGTATTTTCTGACTCAACTAGATGGTGCTCTCTGTTCAAAAACATGGCCCAGACCAAGAGCACCATCCAGCGGCAAATGAAAATACAGCAAATGATTCATGAAACTTCATTTGGCCATCACTAGTGAGAGGCGCTCTGCTGGCTGTAGTGCAGGAGTTGCCATGCCAATGCCTGATCAAAAAAATGTCAGTTTCCAAACATTGATGGTGACTTCGAGGTGACTAGCCAGAATAAAGGCACCGTGAATGTATAAAAATACTTTGATGCTATTATTAGTGATGGCCAAATGAAGCTTTTTTTCTGACCCACTGGATGGTGCTCTTGGTTTATTCTAGGATGTGTTTTTGAGCCTTTTTTTGAAGAGAGCACCATCTAGTGGAGTCAGAAGACACAGCAAATGGTTCATGAAGCTTCATTTGGCCATCGCTAGTTATTACTGGGTGATGGTCCTAGATTTTTCATTTTGATTTTAATGATGTAAAAAATATATAATTATGTATTGTACCAAAGGCGTAACTTTGGGTTCAGCATGGGGGGGTAGAGGTCTCCGCTAATTTAGGGGGGTCCAGGGGGTTGTTTTGATTATTGGGGGGGGTTAACACCTCCCCTTCCCCCCCACAATTTATGCACATGCGTTGTACCATTGTCAACTTGGTGCAACTGTTAGGAATAATGCTCATTGTGTCCACAATGTGGCGCCACAGGGCTCAGTTTGGTAATTGCTTGTGATCATATACATTTTTCATTTTTGTTGTTCAGTTATTTGAATGAAAATGTTCAGAGCCTCCTATGCATCACTATATCCCCTTTTGTACAAAAGTGAATAAACTAAATTTGAAATCTGTGTGCTGTGTGTCTGCTTTCCTATAATGCTTCTAATAAAATATTCTGATGTACACAATAGAAGGCCTTAAGACAAGCTGTTTTTTTCCTATAAATTACTACCGTTTGTTCATTCATAGCAGTGAATTCAGAGAAAGTAGGGGAACTGTAAATCGGGATGAGTTACTTCAGAAGCAGATGTCTCCGGATGGTTGAGCTGGGGATAATGTCCTTGCTAGGGACTGGCATTGATTCCTCTAAATCACTGAATCATCTCTGATCTAGATCGGTGTTTTCCAAACCCCAGGGAATTGGGATGTGGACTGTCTGGGACTCCCCAAACACTGGTTTGAGAAACACTGCTCAAGATGACCATTAGTGAGCAATATAAGGAAGTAAATTATGTACTCGGGCCTTGAGAATGAGGAAAAATCGACCGTACAGTCTCCGATGAAGCCCCTCCTGGAGTTCTCATTTTGCGCCGCAAGGGGGCAGCATTGTCGATCAGATTTTAAGTGGTTTCCAACCTCAGAAATAGTGCTGGTTTTCTGTAAAGTGTAAAATGATTAATAGCACTGGAATAGAATGTTAACCCCATTAAATTGGTTTTCCAAAGTATTTCATTACAGAAGCAGAACACACTAATCATGAGGTTTTCACGATACCAACGATGCCGTCCAGCCGACCAGGGCAGATTAGGGAATAATTAGCATTTAGAATTTTATTCGTTATTTAGCAACACATTCTCCAATTTAAGACTGCCTTGGCAGTCACTTACTGAACAGGGATTAGTTGAAAGATTAAATAGAAACGGTACACCATTTTGCTTAACTCAGAAGACACGGACAGGGACAATCATAAGTAGTATGAACTACAGCACCCCTGCCATTTAAGGGAGACGTTTCAAAATAAAGTGACAGTATCCCGATTGAAAGACCCAACACTGGCACCCCGACCTTAACACCGTACCACCGCGGCATATGGCGGTTCAGCTCCGTGACGCAGAAGGCGAGCGTCCGGACGACGGCCGACCGCTACGGCAGGTTTGGATCAACACTAAGCATCGGCTGGGTCTCAAACCCTCCAGTAATACTCTGAAACTTCCACAGATGATCCGTGGTAAAATTCATCGATTGGAAAAAATATATGTAAGCTATGTTTTTAAATACCATGTCCGTAGTAAAAAAAAAATGCATGCTGGTCAAAATGTCCGTCAGAATTCACCATGATGTTCACCCCTAGTTTAATAGAAAGCAATCACATCCGTTATATAAATTAGTTATTTTTGTATTGCGTTCATGTATTTCATTATATGATGTTCGTCAACGATAGTATCCAATATCCCATGTGATATCTTATCAAGTTGTCACAAAAGTATATATGGTGAATTAATAGCCTCAGTTTAATGCACTGGCAATATTGTATGGTCTCACACTGTCAGAATATTTGCACAATGTAAGATAAGAATCAGGCAAGTAAATCTCGATAATACAGAGACAGAGAACTAGACAGGCTTTAGGACGCCGCAGCACGCAGCGGCGCAGTGTCTCCCCGTGCGGTCCTCGCGCCGGCGCGGCCAATCAGCGCTCGGCGCAGGGGCACGAACGGACGGCGACGTCCTCAGTGCTACTTTAACAAAGAGCCGACGGCCGCGCGCGACTTTCGGGCCGACTCCGAACGGCCGATCTGGCACCGGACCGGGTGTGTGTGGCCGCTAGAGCGATACGGGTCAGCCGAAGCGGGGACAACGAGGCACCGCGCAGCTCTCCGCTGACCGAGTCGCTTGTTCTGTCGTTGTTAAAATCGGACATAAATGTAAGTACACATTTCTTTTGTTTTTGCTGTTTTATTTTGACTGTTGGTTCTGTGAGGTGGCCGGGCTCCTCGTCGCCTCCGGTGCCCTTACTGGAACGGGACGAAGCTGACTAACTTGCTATTCGGACGGAGAAACGGTAACTCGATCCGCAGGGTCTGGAGAAGCGACACCGAAATGTGCCGGTTTGCCTTGAGCTCCCGCGACCCATGAGTCAGGAGCTGGCCGGTAACTTTTTTGTCTTTGCGCCTTAAATGTAAAAGCGGCAGAAAAGCCTCAAACAAACAAACAATGGCAGCGCTCGGCAGGTCCGGGTCTCTGCGTTCCCAAACGCCCGAGTACCGCCGTGCTGCCCGGTGTGTTTGACAAATGAATGAAGCGCCTGGGACATTTCCCTGGAAGTTAAACGGATAACCTCGCCTTTCCCGTGTTTACTGACGCCTCAGACCAAACACGTTTGGTTACTGTTCGGTTGGAAGTTGTTTTCCTTCCCCGGAAGATCTGAACATCCCCTTCAGCACTGCTTTTGAACCGGTGAAAGAAAAATATGCCTTTGGAAGATGAATTGTTAATGAGGTGCTCTTAGTGGTGCCTGTTTGCTTTTTAAAAATTGTGTATATCAAATCAGTTAGACGTCGTTACGTCCGCTTCGTAAAAATAGCTTCTATACGCATATGAACACAGTTTGCTGTAATATAGAAATGATTCGCCCTCCAATTTCCTCCGTGGTTTTTCACAGGCTTTTGTCACCCAGGCAAAGTCAAGTTTTGCAAACCAGCTTTAGTCAAGTCTTTTAGGTCAGGGTATAGGCACAATAGCCGTTATAGCTTACTGTCACAGGGCAGTAATACCAGCAGTCGTGGAACAATTGCAACTGCTGGAGGGTTTTTTCTTCTGCTCGATTCATGCGTAGCTCCCCCACACCCCGACCCTAACCATCTGCCGTTTGACCCCCCCCCCCCCCCCCGAGTATAATCCTAACTACTCAGTCCGTGTCCTGTACAGAGATCATGCTAATAAAGACCAATTCGTGTAGAGCACTGGACATAATTGTCAGGTTGGGGCAGCTGTGTGTGTGCAGCAAGCATTGTGGGGGGTTGTATCTGGCAGCCGCTGCATCTCTGAACAGCCTGAGACTGGAAGCAGGTGCGAGATCTGAGTCAGGCCTGTGACTGCAGTGTGCAGAACATCGGGCTGTTGGTTTAAAAAAAAAACAAAAAAAAACCAGCCACAACTCGCATCTGTTCAGCCTGTGCTGGGAGTGAACCGTAGGAACATGTGGGCCGTCTGAGCCCCGTGGACTTCAGGACACCAGCCTGAGAAGGTGGGGGTTGAGGGAGAGTGGGTGGCAGATGTGTGAGTATGTGGCACAGGTTGGCTTTGTGTACGACTGTCTGATGCGGAATGAGCAACTATTATTTTGCCCCTTTTCCTTGGCTTTCTGTTTGGATGACTGTTGTGTTCCAGTCTCCACGTAGGCTGCCGGCTCTGACGCACGTGTGGAGAATAGGCACGTTTCCTGGTGGAAGTAAGGAGGGCAGGCAGGCATACCTTGACTTTAAAGTCTGTTGTGACTTGCCAGCATGCAGCAGAAAGTTTTCGCCAATCTTCAGATCCAGAGTCCCCTTGGTTCTGTTGTACACCGGCTGCCTGGGTTGTTGGTGTGTGTGCGGAATGTAAAATTGAGCACTTGTGAAAAATTTATATAGGCTCGCAAAGGATTGATTGTCCCTTGTTACACATTGTGGAGCACTTTAATCCACAGCTCAAAGCTTAGGTGTTCCTTTTGTTTCAAGTCAGGTCCTGGATCCTTTCCAGGAACAACTGGTACAATACAAATTTAAGGCAAGTGTATTACCAGCAGTTGCTGTTCTCAGACCAGGCATTGCCTAGTTCTGCTTTTACTGTTAAACAGGTATGGAGGACAAAGTGACATCTGGGTATTTTGCATGCCACGTAGAGTTAAACGTTTGTGCCACCACTATGAATGATAAAAACAACAAGACAAAGTCCAGTTGGTGGATAATTAATTTGCCATAGCTGGTTGTTAAATGTGCCAAAGCGCTTGTTTTGGCTGTTAACATTCCTCAGTGAGTTGCTCCGGAACCTAATTTATCGTGACGTTTTTTAAAACGGCTGGTTCTCAGATAAAATCCACAGAATTGTGTTGGATCGGTAAACTCAGTTTTATGTTTGTGACGTAACTATTAGTCATGCGTGTATAAAAAAAACCTAGTCTGTTAATTAAGAACCAGTATGTGTAGGTGTGTGTGTGTAGTACCTAGGGAAGCAATATGACTATATCCTGCCGGGGAGTGTTAATGATTAGGGTTTTAATGGGTGTGAGGTTGTACATGTCTGTGCATGCTAATTCTGCATGTATACTGCTGTCGAAAGGAGTAAACTAAATGACATAAACAAGTCACAGCCTGGCCCTTTTGTGCATCTTTGTGCTGATAAGTATTTCCGTTGTGAACTGAGAGTTTGTTGTAGCATTGAATTGGGCAAGACTGTAAATGCACAAACTACCAAGGATAGCTCATTTGATTAATACGTCGTGCTCATGATGCCACTGTTGTGGGTGTGATCCCTCTATGGGCCGTGTAACTTTCCCTTTCTCTGTGGCTGGTTACCTGCGAGAGTAATTTATCTGTTGATGACAGACTATTTTCAGTGAACTCCACTTAGATGCTGTGGGGGTTGAACATAGGCAGGCTTAAGACTCCAGTAGGAATAAGGCGAGATGAGTTTGGTACTGTGTGTGGGCTTCCTGTCCCAGTATGGGTGTCAGCTTTTAGCTGAGGCGTCTCTGCTGTAAGAATTCCGGCCCACAGATGTAAAAGCGACGGTATGCTAAAAGGGCAAGATAAGCAAGCAGCGGCCAGTGATCCCGCAAAACAGCTTCCCCATTAGGAAACTGCCAGGTTTCCCATTTGCATTTAGATGATGGTGCTGGAGGGCAGCTCTAGCACCGTTGCCGCAGTGGTGTTCACTACCATTCCCGGGTTGCGATCCAGTGAGCCTGTGTGTGCTGGTGAAAATGTGATTGTGCATCTGTGGATATTTTCGTTCTTGTTAGCTGCGTTCGGATTTGTGCCCTTTTCTTACTCCGTACAAGTTTGTCTTGCTGGTTGGAAGCAGGTAATATGAAAGAGCACTGAGCTCTAGATCTCTGTCAGGTTGATTAAGAGTATATCGCTTGGGGTGGT